CGGCAGCTTCAGGGCGCCCAGCGCTCGGTGCCGCAGCCGAAGCGGCGGCAACAACCGCAACCCGGTTCTACAGGGCAAAACCAACACCTCAGCCCACATCTGGGGAGAAAACAACGACACAACCCGTCAGCCCCCACCGCCGAACGGAAAGACATCCCCCCTCTCTTCCCCCACTCACCCACCCGCGGCCCTCCCGGCGACGTCAGGCCCAAGGAAGCAGCACCTCTTCGCCCCGGCGCCGTGGGATGACATCAGCGGCGCGACGCGGCCCGCTCGCCCCGCCCCTTCCCCCAGAGGGCGGTGCGGCCCGGAGTCGGGTTCCGCTGAGGGTGGGCTCGGTCAGGGTCGTGCAGCGCGGCTGTTAGTGGGTCCAGAGTGGCTTTTCCCACAAGTGACGTTGTTTATTCCTTATCAGTTTATGACCCTCCAAAACCCCCAGATCCTTTTTTGCAGAACAGATACGTAACCGGTTGCTAAGTGATTACTTGTAGGCAGTAATTTACAGTCGATAATGCCTAAATGCAAGAGAGAGCTTGTCCGTGTTGAACTGCACCCAATTTCCACCGATTTGTCAAGAACTTTATTAATTCTAATCTTAGCCTCCAAAGCACGCACCTCTCCCAGCTTGTGTCATAAAATCACAGCATGGTTTGGGTTGGAAGGGACCTTAAAGACCACCCAGTCCAACGCCCTGCCAGGGGCAGGTTTGGCTCATACGGTTGCTCTATCACCCTTCTCCCCACTCGGGGAGGCAGGGGACGCGGAAAAAGGAGATTTGCAGGTTGAAATAGAAATATAGTTAATAAAATAATAACAACTAATAATAACAGTTATAAAATACACAGAGTTATACTCAGCCAGTATTGTGGGGGAGTAGGCCCCAGGGTTAGGACAGTAAAGAAGTCCTTCTTGAGATGCCCAGAGAAGAGGGGAAAAGGAGCAGGGGGGAGAACGAGCAAGAGAAGAGCTGTCCCCAGCAAACTCCCTGATTTATAATGAACGTGACGTTTCTGGTATGAATAGTAATAATTAGTCAGTCTGAGGTCACCTTGGGGTTGACTCCCCTAGGTTTCTGTTCCCCCCAGCCTCTGCAACTTTATCTCGAGACTTTGAAGACCTTGAGCAGTATGACAACCTGCATACCAGTATTAGCTAAAACCTATAACGGAAGTTTTATCACATTGTTCCCATGAAATAGAGTGTTGTAGTGCTTACAAAATTGCAGTTTTCCTCAACAGAAAAGTGACTCTAAAATTCTATCCCACTAAATGAGGACAGCAGGGACTGTCTCCCACTAGACCAGGCTGCTCAAAGCTTGGCCTTGATCACTTCCAGGGAGAGGCCATTTAATATGGTTTTCTGTACTTGCAATCCAGGTTGTTAATGAATGTAAGTAATTAGCCGCCTTCTCATCCTTCCTCTAACTCCATATAACGTATAACCCCACTATCTGCAGGCTCTTCCCTAGGCCCTTGAGGTGGTTTCTTGCTTGTGAGCTTTTTTTATCAAGCCCCATGGATGAGCTCCCATGAGAGCTTAAAGCTCTCAGCACAAGGTTAGGAAGCTGGTCTTGCTCTGGTATTGGTGACTTCTGAAAATACCACTGATGTCCCCATGGCTGTATGGACAGGGTGGTATAAAACCACTGGACAAATCCTGCACAGTTTTCCAGCAATGTTTGGATTTTATTTTCTAAGGGAAAAAAAATAGCAGGGTATCAGCAGTGGTCAGCAGGTAGCTGGCTATAGGTTATTTATTTGCAGTAGTCATCAAACATTCCCGGTCTTGAAAAGTTATTGGAGAATTATCAGGCTATGGTATATAATTAACTCTCAATAAATAAAGTAAAACTATTTCTGGGCTAAACTGTGTGCTTGTATGGAGCCTTCCATCCTGTGGTTAAATCTCTAGTTCCCTTTTTCAAAGCATGCTTGTCTAACTTATCATCTGCCATCATTTCTGAAGTACCTATCACATTTGTACTTGAAAGACAGCAGTTATAAAAGAAACCCACAGGGAGATGACCCAGAGGACATTTCAACAAACGGAGCAGACTCTTCACAGAACTTTTGAGACACCACAGGTAACCTCCTGGGATATCTGTCACGATTTGTTTTTGTCTTCTTGTGATTGCTTTGAAGACTGCAAGGGTCCCACTTTGCAAAGTCAGCTTTGCTTTACACTGGGAAATGCATCTGGAACCAGCTTCTGACCAGTTGCCTGTGAGACACTGGGACATGTCAGCTATGAGTAAGAAAATCATTGCCTTTTAGAGCCTGTTTTCTGTGGGTTGGATTTCTAGTGTCCTTTAAGGAGTACACCATTTACCTTCAGCTTATTAGTTTTTACCAAATCTAACAAAAACGTCATATAATCAAGCCGCTTATTTGTCCTGAAAACTTATATATAACCATTTTTCTGAGAAGTGTCATCCTTTTGTAGACTTTGAATTAACATCTTTACTTGAATACACTTATTTTGATTCTCTTTTCAGTGTTTTCTCACATGAAACACACAGGGTATCACAGGCTGCAGTGTGTTCTTACAAGTTATGGTCTTACACAGCTATAGAAATAGCTCTTCCAAAAGCTGTATTTTCACTCTTAGACTGATAGCAAGAAAAATAAAAATAGCATATTTTAAAACAAGGCAGGAAAAGATAAACTGAAAAGAAGAACAGGGATAATAATTGAAAACTAATCTGCATTACAGTAACATTTTACATCCAGTTACAAATCAGTAAGCTGCTGCTCAGAAAATGTTAGATCTGTGTCTAATACATGCATGCTTTTAGACAGCAAAAGTACCTTTGAAAAATTGATCTTGAGGTTCTTTTAAAAAAGCATAGGGAAAAGAATGGGCCCAGGAAGAGTCAGAATCCTTACTTTTTGAGGACAAAATAAAAACCCACTTCAAGTAAACCCAAGAGAGATTCACCTTTTCCCTTGTGCTAAATGCCAGAGCAGTCCTGAAACCAACATACTGACACTACTCAAGTTAGTAGATGTGAATCCTAAGCAGTTGTAAAACATGAGGGGTTTTTTAAAGATTTTTTTAAAATAATGTACTGAAGTGATGGTTTGGTTTGGTTTGGTTTGGTTTTTGTGTTTTGGTTTTTTTTTTAAGTGAGTTTTCTTAGCAGTGGAACCAATGAAGCTTCTTTCCCAAAGTATCGTAGTTGTACCTGATGTGGTATTTGGTTAAGGCTTTGGCTGCAGCTAGGGGAGCACAACCAGTCCCTCTGTCTCTCTCCTATGCCAGAGGAATGTCCTTTGATGGGTTCTTGTGTCTTTCTCACCGAGGTACCTGGCTGACATTACAAGAGCTTAATCTACTTAAACTGCTTCTTAGCTGCTGGTTTTGGTTGTAGGTAGCTGGGGGGAGAGCTTCAGTGAACGTGGTGGGTATTAATAGACAAGCAGGAGTGCAGATGTGCACGCATGCCTAACAGCACAGGCACACACATCTGCATGGTTCAGAGTTGCGTTCTTGGCAGAATTGGACCGCGGTTATTGCTAACATGAAAATGAGAAGCTGGTTTTTATTTTCAAAGACTTGAAGTTGATAAATTTTTACTTTTAAATAGAGAAAAAATGTTACTGGTCTATCTAATAGTCTCATCAGGTAAATGAGCTATACTGTGTTTTTTGAAGCAGGAAGGAAAGCCTGCGACCACTAGTTTATACAAGTGCATATTGGAAATGTGTGTCGTTCTAGCAGTTTTTTAATTATTTTTTATCAGATGAAGCAGTGTAGGTGTGGCAGAAGTGGTCAGATATCAATGCAATTGGAAACTTGTATTCAGTGCACATGATTCCCTTCCGAATAACAGTCTTGTGAAGCAGTGATCTGTATGGTATGCAAGTGAGAAAATCCAGAACAACAGACTTTTCATGAATGGTAATGCAATAGAAATAGTCTTGGAGGCATTGTGTAGGCATAAATGTATGGTGTGAATAACAATTACCTGATTGTTTGTGATTCATGGACATTTTGGAAGAACCAAAATATCTGGCCAAAATGCCTTACAATAACCTAACATACATAAAAGCAACCCCTAATTCCCCAGGAATAAACTGTTAGCAAACTCCAGAGGTTCAATGAGCCTCATGGATATTTTGGTTAGCTGAAGAGTAGATACATATAAAATATGAATATAGATAATGAGTGGCCTTGGACATTAAGAAACACACTGCACTGTAGATTATGTGTCATTTTAATGAATTCAGCATTCACACACCATTTTGAAAAATAGTCACTGTATAACAGAAGTGCTCCAACTGTGATCAATTGGAGTGCTTCCAGTCCCTGGGTTATTTATTGGAGGTTCAGGGAGATCTGATGGGTTAAAGATGTTTTCTCTGCTCATTACATCTGAAAATATTATGTTTTCCATACAAGCAATTGCTGCAGTGCCCCAGGGAAGTAGTGTGATTTGGCCGGGAGGGCATATTTCTCTTCAGCAAGAACATTTTGGAAAGCTGCTGTTCTGTATTTCCATGTTGCTTATATTAGGTTATACATGACTGATTACACGTAGATTTTTTTTTCCTCCCAATACTTCATGAAACAATCTGTAGGAAGCATAAGAACATGCTGGTTTTAAGCAATAAAAAATAGTCATTCATTTACATTAGAAACAAACAAAATAGTTTCTCTTACACCCAATAATTAACACTGGCGAATTGGCCTTGAGCTGAGCACTGGGACTGTTTCTTTAGCAAGCTTTATTGCAACAGAGACTGAAAAGTAAATTCCGGTAAGTAGCCATTTTATATATGGTGGCAGAAAAAAATGTGGTTATTTCTGTCTTGGAGAAAATGGGACTCTACTGAAAGCCAATAGATCTGAACCCAACTCACTCCTCTCCCTGGAGAGATGCTCCAAGTCCGTGACTGCTGCTCTGAACACCCACACATGACAGTGTTTGAAACCAGTAGCTTTTTCAAAGAGGGCTGGCAAAAGCAAAGCGAGCAACATAAAATGTGTTTAGTGGTACTTACATTAAATTTAGCTATGACAAGATGGGTTTTCCTGTGAGGAAAGAAGAGTCTATCCTCTGCAAGAGGGCAGTTTCATTCCTTTGATCATGTGGATATACCATGCTCCATGGTTTGCTTAACACCTGGAATTGTGTTCATTTTTAGCTGCTGGGCTCTGTAAAATGGTGACAAAGCTTGTGTGCTGATACATGGCTGTTCTCATTTACTACCTGAAGATTTTGGCCAGCATGATGAGTGTTTTTCTGATCCTCCTTTGGACAATGAACTTGGTTCAGCCAAACGTACCCCAAGCTGTAGGAGGTAAGGCATTTTCCTTCTACCAGTGCATAGCTTTAGCACTGGTAGGTGACCAAGGCCTCTATGTATTGGTCAAATGCACTATTCTACACATGACTAAAACAGTCCATGAGCACAGGACCACAGATGATTGTTTGTTCAACAATTTAATCCAGCCAGAGCAAAGGCATTATTCCAGCTAGCAATTTTACTTCCAGGAACAAAACTGCAATTAGGTACAGAAACATGACAGCACAAAGCATCACTGGCATAATCCTGGTGTATCAACAACATTAATGGTGATGTTTTTGTGGACATTTCAACAAGAAACATTTTAAGGGAACCACTTCGGGGTGGTTTGTGTTGGGGTTTTCTGAGCCTTCATGAGGCAGTTTTCCTAATGCGAGGGACATGCTTGAAAATGGAACCAGTGGGCATCAAAGGTTGAAATCATGGGAGAAGTGGGGACTGATGTCCCTCAGCTGCCTTGGAGCTGGTAACTGAGAGACGACAGGCTCTGAAGAACTCTAGAAATGGAGGGGAGTAGATTGATTATTTCATTGTCTTGCTATTTATATGCTAACATTTTCCCCCAGCATGAGATCTTCCTCATTTCCATGTGAGCTCCAGGAATCCCTCTTGCCTTGTCGTTTTACATTATCATTTCCATCCTTCTATGCTTTCTTCCATTTGTGCTTAATTCGTCTGTTCATCATTTTGTTTCTTCTCTCACATATAACTTCTTGTGGCTGTTGGCCTTCTCTTGGAAAGCTCCCATGTTACACTCTTCTGCAAGCTTACATGGGTGGGAATTGTTTGTACAGTTGATCACTTCATCAGCCCCGTTTCAGTACAGATGCCCAGTGTCATAGCCCAGTGGGACTATGACGATCAAGTTTGAAAACCTGAACCTAATTAACAAGTCAACTGTAATATATCCTTGGGATTTTAAAGTTGAAGTGGTTGTAAACATTCATGTTTTAAGCTAAGTTTTAAATAAACTCTTAAGAAATTTTGATTGTTATTTAAAGATATTTTTTCAAATATTAGAAACATTTTATAAGAAGCTGAGAGAATATAATACTGAAATGAAATTATTTGCTTGTATTGCTCATAGCTTGTGAACTGCTATTGCTGTAAACAATCCACTGGATTACTATGTTATGAATATTTTTGTTTTCTCCCTTACAGTCCAGGTTTTCCCACCTGTAAACTTCACTCTTACAGTCTCTGCATTAGCACAAGTACTTTTACACTGGAGACCAAACCCTAATCAAGAACAAAGAAACTACACTATTAGATATGATGTGAAAATCCTAAGCCCTGTGCCTGAAGAGGTAAGATTAAAAAATATGCCCAGTATCCTAGGAAGGTTGAATTCCTGTTGAGTTAAACATATTGCACCAAACCAGGGTGCAGTAGGCATGATAGGTCCCTTGAACCATTGGCATATTGAGTCACTTATTCTCTTATATCATAAACATATACCTTGAGCACTGGAGAGATTCCTGATTCCTTTTCAGGAATCAGTCTTTGCAGGTCCCGTAATTTGGCTTCCATAACATGTGATGCTTATTTGATTTTATTTTTTTTAATTTCAAGTATGATACAAAGAAGACTCACAGTATTCGAACAGCTCCACTTCACAATGGTTTCTCTGCACACATTCGGACCTTACTTTTCCATAATAACCTTCAGGTGAGAAGTGACTGGGTGAAGGAAGAACTCCTGCCTCTGCCAGGTAAGAAGAAATGCAAGATGTTCTGCCCCAGTCTGTAGACTAGACATCAAAAGGTGACAGGTTTAATACTTGAAACGTACTGCCACACTGATCTCACAAAATGATGTAGTCCAGGCCATTCTCTACTTCTGGGGAGCCTGGAGTACAATCTGGAGGTGCACAACATGGATAAACCATATAAAATTTTCTAAAAATTCCTTGCTAAGGCTAAGATAGCCTACTTTCATACACTCTAGGATCTTAAAAGATCACATTGTCTTGAATTGCAAGGTGCACATGAAATGGTACAGCTTTACTTACACTGTTTGTGATTCTTCATCCATCCATAACTGATAGGCCTGTGTGATAAGGCAGAGAATCGGATACAATAGACATAGGTATAATGGACCAAAGAAAGTAATCAAAATGTTTTAGCAATGTGAATTTTTTAACAACTTCTGTAATAAGATTTTTCTTTCTGCTTTACTTGTCTCTCTAGGTGCTCCAGAGACATCTGTCACTAATTTGTCCTGTGTTACTCGCATCACCGTTTCTGGTACTGTTTCTCTCCATTGCACTTGGCTTCCTGGCCAAGGGGCACCAGAAGATACTAAGTACTTTCTGTTTTACAGGTTGGTGTTTTCTCCCATTTTAGTCAGCAGTGAATTTCTTTAAGAGCATAATTTCTCTCAATTTTAATTTAGGTATGAGACATACACTGAAGAATGTCAAGATTACATCAAAGACAAGAGGAACAGGAATAGTGAGTGCAGATTTTCAGTGACTCATATTGATCCTGAAGAAGTTGACAATCTCATTGTAATACATGTTAATGGGTCTAGCAAGTATGCTGTCATCAAACCTTTCCAGCAGTTATTTAACCAAAATGCCATTGGTGAGTAGAAATAATTAAAAAAAAGAATTAAAGATGTCTAGCAGGATTGTCAAAAGATTTGTGAGACAATATTACTGAATTGAGGGGTTCCTGATGCAGGTGAAAAGGGTGTGCTGGTTTTGCACAGACATCTTAATAAAATTGGAAGAGATTATAAGACAGAAATGGATGGTTTTAACTAACTTTGAATTTAATGTTATGGAATGACATAAATAAAAAGCTAGAAAATACAATTGGTTATTCTGTTTGTTAGCCAAAGCATTATTTCCAACAGTCATTTTCAATCAATTTAGTCACTATACCTTCAAGTACAGTTTTTATTACCTTTTATTTTACAGCCTTTCTTTAAAAGGAAAAAACACACATGGTGTTAAAGATAACTGTGTGCTTTTAAGGAAAGGCATTAGATTGTTGACTAAAAGGTGTAATCAGCCATGACTGTCTACCATCTTTCATCCCGACAAATAATTTATTTTCCTTCATTAATCCCATGCCTTTCACTTTCCCCTTTTCATGGCTTTGCTAAGATAAAACAGTTGCCATACTTTCTTCTTAGAAATCATCCCCATGCTGATCCATTCCTTTGAATTTGTTCCTATTTTCAGTAACTTTCCTGGTTACATCTATTTGGTTCCTGAACAGAAGTTTTTCTAACTCTTCTATCATTAATTCCATGCTTTTATAAAAATTAATTTAATAGTTCCCACCTCTCCCAGTCACCTATTTTTCTAAAACTTTTAAGTGGATTTTCAAAACTGTTTCCCCTTAACTATTTTCTCCAGTACAGTTATTCCTCCTAAATCCTTATCTTTTCTCTCCTAAATGTGAAATAAATTCAAGAATTATAGGTCCTACTTAGAAACACTATCGGGTTATAAATTGCTCCAATTGTTAGTATTTAAACTTTGCTCTATAAATAACTTACCGATGCAGTTTACTTTTTGTAGAGAAAGTGAATGTTCCCAGAAATGTCACTGTATTCTTAGAGCAAAATGATCTCCTGGCCACATGGGAGAAGCCAATTTCTCCTTTCCCTGAAGAATGTTTTGAATATGAATTTTACCTCTTCAACTTGAAGTCAGGTAACAAGCAGGTAATTGCTTCTCTGATGCTCAAATATTGCACAGCGTTCCTGTCTCTGAGCTGACTGTCCTATATTTTAAATTTTTAAACCATTTTACAATAAACTCTGCTATTAGTACATTTTTGAAACTATGGGCTTTTGGTGAAACCATTTGTGAATAGGGTTCAGCAAAGCCAAAGTCTCGTGAATTTTGGTATTTTTTCCTCTTTTTCTGGATGTCATTTATGTCTGCAACAAACTAGTCCCAAGAGACCTAGGAAAGCAGAAGGACACAAATTGGAGTTACTCAGTTTTATGCACCTGAGTTCAGAACAGTAGGAAGATGAACAATTCTGAAATTCCAGCATTAAGTGTCTGAAGGAAGAATGCAAAAATGAGGCATCTTTCAAGAATTTTCCCTGAAATAATGATGTATTGTGAAAGAAACTGTACCTACAAAAAGAGAAATCTTAATTCAAAAGCAAGGGCAGATGCTCACTGTTAACTAGTAAAGGAGTTTTAAAAAAATAAAAACATGATTAATGTTTGTTTTCTGAACTGTTCAGTCTTAAGTAATCTATAACAGTGCAATATTGTTTTCCTAACAGATATTGAAAATATCCTCAAACAACTTCAGGTTGCGAATTGATGTTACCAGCAGGTATTCCATACACATAAGAGCTAATCATCACATATGTTGTACGAGAGGATTTTGGAGTGACTGGAGTGAAATTATTTATGTCGGTAAGAATCACATGATTGTCTCATGTAGTGAATATGATTACACTGCTGGAAAGCAAATGCTGCCTCATCATGAGCATGCACAACACCAAGTCATTTTAATAAAAGCCAGGAAAATGGGTATTTGAAGAAAGAAACTATTTTGTTAGTGTGAAGGGGAGTTAAATCTGTGTTCCATTAAAAATAATAATAATAAAAATCTCCCAAGCAAATTTTTGGGCATATGGAGGGGTTTTCTGGACAGTGTTGTGTTTTTACAAGCTTATGTTTTCAGAGACTGCTTTAAACAAGCCTAAGGCTTAAGTTCTAGGTATGTCCTTTTACTTGCATTACTTCTTTAGTTGTTACATGTGTTTCCCTGGCATGCATCATGATGTTCATGCTGGGAGTTATTATGAGTGATCAAATCAACTTATTACTTTACTGAAGCTATCTGAGCTCTTAATTGTTGGGGGGGGCAGGGAAGGATCATGGTTTTAGTATCTTTGGAACATGATAATTTGCCCCATTTTGTTCTTTGTTTCTTTCTTGTTTGCTGAACATGTTTTTCTGGAAATAACAGTTTCCTTATCACGGCACGTTATCAACTGTTTCTTCTTAGACATCCTCCTTTGCTCTTATCTTTTGAGTTTCTTAACTTCCTGGTTTTCACTTAAAAAAATGTCTCTAGCACAGTCCTGTTTACTGCACTTTCCCCTTTTATATCTATTTGGTAATGAATGTGATTAAATCTGCTGGTGTTTTGCTGTTTAACTCACCTCCTTGACCTTCCCACTGACATGCCCTTGAGAAGAGGCCTGACCACTCACCTGAGGCAGGGGAGGGCTGGCCAATTTCTCATTAATTAAAAAAACTGGACCTGTGTATTAGCCTCATGCATCTACCCAGGAAATATTTGGATGAGATGAACCTTAAGGCCAGTAGACCTCTTCTGAGTCCATATCCTGAGAAAAACACTAACCCATAGCAGCAATTCTCCAGCTTTGTTTCAAACCGAAACACCATTCTGGATCCTGCTCTGGGGCTGTGGTGATCAAACCCTCCAAAATACAACCATGCTGCCTAAGCAGGAGTTATAAAACTGCACCTTGATATCAGTGTTCTCTAAAAGGTTGCTTAGAAGCATTATAGTCAAACAAAGCTAGAGAAAATCATCAAAGCAGCTGAATGGGCTGGACACCCTCATTAAAGCTGCACGGCAGCCTGATACAAATCAAATCTGCGAAGCTCTGGGTACAGCTGCTGCCAGGGTTCACAGTTTAAAAGATCCACAGGTCCCGTTTGGGGCTGAGAAGCACCTCACAGCACATCTGTGCTGTCCCGATTCTGCTTTCTCCACAAGGCTGAAAGCTTTGAGGGCCCCTCTGTGTCAGCCAGATCACTTTTGGAGCTAACTCTGCTGCGTGGCGTGATGGTGACTGAGGAACCTGGAAACATCGTGTTTATGGATGCCTCTACTCACACGCTGCACATATCAAATACAGAAAATTCATTCTGATGGTAAAAAGTTAGTCTTCCAGAAAAAATATACTAAAATCTTAAAAATATCCAAGGATAGGTCCAGTTACTTCAGTTGTCCAATCACTTCAGTTTTTCATATGAAAAGTGGTTTTTAGAGGCTTGTTGCAGTTCACTTGACACAATACAGGTTACTGCCTAAGTTGCTGGGTTTCAGTACGTGCTCCAGGCACGATCAGTTGCTCTTAACTTTCTCTGTGGCTCTGAGAAAGTTTAATCTGTTCCCTTCGTTTCACATATTACGTAGACATCTCTCTTCACGTGGTGCACGGGGCTGGGCTGGTACCCCTGGGCACGTCTTGGAGAGAAGCCCAAGGAGGAGCATCCTGGGCAGGTCCCCAGAGCCACAGTATGGCCTCTGCAATTGCTGCTTCCTCCACACCTTACTCTGAGTTACAGTGAGACTTGGCATTGCCTAATCATGCCTTTTAGGGGCCACTGCCAATGGACATAAGATGGAAGAGACTTTGGACCCTGCCATTTCTGGTTTGGAAAATGGAGACACTTCCCAGCCTTCATGTGGGGAGGCTTAAAGTTGGTTTATGGGGCTTAACTGTTTACACAGTCTGCTGCCCCAGTCATCCTCAAGACTTACACTAAGCATAACTCATTGCCAGTTACATCCTAAATCTTGTTTCCATGAAAGAAAAGTAGTAACCCTGAAGACAAACCATCCTAACCTGTTTGTAATTGCAAGATTGACTGTGTACCCCAGTTGAGGTGGTACGGAGGTGCAGGATGGATCACACAGGCCTGCTCATGGCGTCCTCCGCACGCTGCTCCCAGGGACTGCTGTGCAACTACATCCATTACTGAAGACAGCAGGCTCAGCTCCTCATTTCTCAGAAACAAATCTGGCCACAATTGAATATTGTTTTTTCCGCAGCACCAATAAACCAAACACTCCTGCTGCTCGCCTTTCGATTACCTGGTAATGGCAGTGCTGACACCTTGATGCATAGGACAGGGAGTTATCGTAAGTGCACACACACTCAGAAGCCTTTTGAAAAACACAGTTCAATGTAAATGTTTTTGTTATATGGCATGATGTGGCACAAAATAATGGCTGTGGTCACTCAGCAATACCTTTTCAAAACAGAAACATTGACCTTGATGGAAATACCTGTGTCTGCTCACAGGCAGGGACGGCAGAGAAATTCTTCTCGAGGAAATGTAACAGCAACAGGCACACAAGAAAAATGGAGAGTTTTGATGTCTTTTTTACAGGCAAGTTTATGAAGCCAGAGAAATCCAGTTCCTGGCTAGAAGGGATTAGCAGAAATGAAGAATGGTTTAATGGAAAACAAAGAGTTTGTGCCTGAAATTATCCCGTTGTGTGCCTGCTGCGTGGCATTGCGTGTCTTGGGATGGCAGCTAACAGAACATATTGGCCTTCTGGTGGGCCTGGCCCCTCACACTTCTCAGCTCATTCTCTCCTTCATGTTAAAATGAAAGAAATTTATTGTTGAAATTAGAAAATCAGTTTCATGAAATTATTCTTGAAGCTCTGTGTTTTGTTCCTAATTCTAGATACCAAGTCTCCACTGTTTTCACATTAAGTTGTGATGTGGATATAATCACATCAAACAATTGATGAAATCTTTTGTAGGGTTGTGTTTAAAATAATCTGCACAGAAATAATATATTTAATTTCTATTTTTCCTGAAATTCAGGGCAAAACAAACTGGAGAATCCTGTAGGCTGGATTTTCACTGTCCTTTGTGTGTCCACATGCTGCATATTTCTGCTTGTTGCTATAATATGCAAAATGTAAGTATAATTGTCTTATTTTTAATTACAGTATAACTAAGGACTAGGTGTTAAACAGGTGTAGGGGGATGTTACAAGCTTTGCTTAATTTTAAGAAAGGGCACTGAGTTTGGTAGTCAAGCACTATAAAAAGCATTATACAATTATACAAAGCAAACGTACTGAATAAGTAATAATCAGCCTCATTAATTATCAATAATAAGATTCATCAAATTTCATGAGGTAAGAGAGTTATCCAATTTAATCTTAAACAACAAAACCATATACTGAGTGAGGTGAATTTGTTAAAAAACCCTATTTGTCCTTATCTCATTTCTTCACTTAAATGGATCTGGTTGGGTCAATGATTTCCCCAAGAGGACCCTGTCTTTAACCTTGCTGGAAGCTGCTGAGAACTTCTTTCATGGCTAAATTGTTCAGGTCTGGATTTTCACAGTCTTGTCTGGTTCAGCCTCCAGACCCACACTCTATATTGGGCCCTGGGCATGTTGTTTGCATTTCAGTTTACATCAGGGAGTGTGGTAGATGCTTTGAAGAGGCAAAACTTCAGAGTTTTTATGCTTGCTTGCTCCTCTTGACCTCTTAACAGGAGCAAGTGCATTGAACTGTTGTTTGCTTTGAGTTTTTGAACTATTTGTGCATTTTATTCTTAATTATTACAGAGGCTATGGATGCCATGTAGTAAAAACAGATGCCATATAGCCAAACTTCCTGAAACATGCTATGTAGGAACCCAGATACACTGGATTTCTGTAGCTGTGATTAGTCAAATCATAAGTGATGAATTAAAGAATCAATGTAATTACAAGCTTCTCCCCTGAAACATGCAGCAAGAAGCAATTATCAGTCCCCAATAAACACAGCTCCCAGTAATGTAAGTGCTGTTCTTGACTCTGCTAACCTATTAATTTCTTCAGTGCCTTTTAATTTATTGGTCATCCTGATGTGTCCTTGGCGATTTTCCTTTCCATACCACATTTCCTTTATCAAATAAACATCTTGTCTACAGGAATGTTACATTAGAATAACTGTTATTAACTCTCCCTAAAGTGTCTGGTGTCTATGATAACCTGTTCTTCAGAAAATTTAATTAGCATAGCAGGTCTCAATAAGCAATCCTTTTTGGAACAAGATAGATTAACTCTGCAGAGTTTATTCAAGTTGTGCTTCATATGCACTTGTTCCCAACTATGCAGCCTATGCGCACCGCTCTTACATCACTGGTTCTTTTATATTGACCTGTCTTCATAGCTGTAGGTCCTTAGCTGCTCCAGCATAATCTTCATCAGCTCTCTCCTCTCTCTGTGGGACAGCAAAACACCAGCACCAGTTAGTTCCAACACCAGTTAGTAGCAGGCGTACCGCTCCATGTTTGCCTGCGGAGTTTGGCAAGTAGTTGGCTATGTTACCCCATGAGGAGATCCTGAAACAGATACAGGAGGAGAAACAAGTATAGGGGAAGACTTCTACTCAAGGACCAGCTCGAAGATGCTGTACTAATGCACTTTATGAACTTTAATACATCAGGCCAATTTAAGTTAGCTTTTCCAAGTTTAGCTGCTTGATGCCACATTGGTTACTTCTAGGAGTTTCTCTCTGCCTAGCTAGTATATAATTCCCTAGCACCCAGAGGCTCATTACATACCATCTTTGCCAAAGGGATTAAAATTTTATGTGTGCTGTGCTGAATTTTGTGAAGTCGCTAGCTTTACTCCACCTTCCTGAGATGCTTGTTGCTCAGTGTTCTTGCAACTTCTGCAATCCCCCAGCCTGCCTGGGAGGAGGTGGGAAGTGTAAGGAGATGAAACACAGTGTGTATCCTGTGCATTTGTTGTAACTGCAGATATTAAAAAAAGAAAAATAGAACAGACTCCCTAGATCACAGTTTCATTAGTACTCAGAACAAAATTAACTCTATCCCATCCAGAAACCACACAACTGCTCTTGGAAAGTCATGAAGCATACCATAGAATTCAAGCCACAGAATAATTTAAAATTTCATACCATTTGAAGCCATTGCAAGGAATTTCATTATAGCAAAGAGTTCTATATGTTTCTTCTGTGTACTCCCTGGTGATTGCAGGCATCGGAGATACAGACCACCATGTGGGAGAAATGCTGCAAGGCAAAGTAGCCTTTGGAACTATTTTGATGGTCTTTTCCCCTTGCTTGCAGTAGCTGATGGGGTTACTGTCTTGATAAAAAGCACAATGGAGTATTTTCCTAGCTTGCCTTCTGTCTTTATGAATAAGCATCTTCTGTACTTCCGTAGGCTGTACCTTGGAATAACATTTTCTCCCAGAGGTGAGCCCACAGGAGGATGTAGTTAATAACTTGCTCCCAGCTGCTCTCCAGTTAACTGCCATGAGGACAGTCAGTGCCCTCCATACCCTGAGATCAATGTGGTCATCACGACCTCCACCTGGTCCCCTCCCTCTTCCACAGCCCACTCAGGTCCATGACCAGCAGTCACCAGCCACCTGCTACAGGAAAGCCATTTGGAAAATGTCAGGGGGAGTCTTGGGGGAAATGAGACACTAGAAAAGGCACCCTAACATACTGTGAAAACAAATACTTTATCAGTCTCATCATAGCGGTTAGAAGAGGGAAAAGAAGAACTTGTTCTTTTACTGGTTTCTCTTTATTTATCTTTGGCCTTTTCATGTCACAGCCTGTGGGAAAAGTGGCAAATTTCAGAAAGACAGACACAGCGCAATAACTAGAGGCCCTGCAACACTGAGTTAAGGCACGAGGGTCCTGTGGGGTGTTTCCAAAGCCTGAAGGTCCAAGTAGCACTAACAGAAAGGGGCATGCTCTAACCTGCATAGAGCAAGCAGAGACAACTGGAACACTTCTTGTGACCAGATACTTAATCACACAACTCCAACTTTTCAGTGTCCTGCAAAAAACAACAGGACCACTCTGAGGGCACCACAGTCACCACCCCCACCAGCGCCTCACTGCAAAGACTCTGGCACCTGAGGGGCACGCAGACCCCACCAACTCAGTGTCCTTCTGCCTTATTTCTGTTGGACGTTTGTGCACCACACCTTAAGTGTTTCGATTCCAGAAGTGACGTGTAACTTATGCTTTTTGCTGACTCAATAAAGAATTTTGATATGGCTCCATCAAAATCTTTTATTGACAAACAGCATGACTAGAAACACACCAATTCCAAACAAAACCAAATCTTGTTGGTTACTTCACACAGCAACAGCATAAATCAAAACCACACTCAGAGCTGAAATAAGGTATGGGTGAGATCATGTGGCCTCCAGAAAGGCTTGGGAGACCCAATGGAGTGTAAGAGCTGTGAAGACAACAGCGCTTGCAAAGCTAACCTGGGTATGGTCACAAAGACCTAATCCTTTGCAGGACAGCTGGGAAGAGTAGAGATGATGCCAGACGTTGGAGTGTTAATATTGTCACTCATCATGGTCCCACTTCTTTGTTACACCAGTGCCATGTTAGTGACCCTAGTGGTGACCACACAGGTTGTCCTCTGCAGGCCAGGAATCGTTGGACTGCATTCAGCATTTCAACAATGGGGATGCAAATGTTTCCTAAAAACAACTCACTTGCACCCTGCTATTCCTCCCCATATTCCCACTTCTGGTTGTACATCTTCATCACAAACCCTTGTCCATGTGCAGCAATGGGGAGACATCCCATGGCTTGCTCTGTCAGGTCTATCATGCGAGTGGTGGTATGGCCCTTCCCTTCCCCTAACAATTAGTTAAACATCAATGTCTCCTTCAAGGCAACAGCAGCTCAGTTCAGGTTTAGCTCCAAACTGAAAGTCAGGAAGTACTGTTCTTACCTTCCTGGTGAGAATGAATAGCAAGATAAAAGAAAACTTGAGAGAGCTCAGAAAGCTTTTGGAAGAAGAATGGTCATAAGAACGTAAGTGTTCAACTAACCAGACATCAGCCAGGAAAATTGCCACAAAAGAAATGGGCAAGAGGAGCAAATCTGCCCTTGGTCCCAGCACTAAGGGTACAGGAAGGGTGCAGCTATGGCTCCACCTTGGCCACTTCTCTGCTTCATGGACATCAGGCTAGCTCCACAGCACAGGAGCTGCATACTAATTCTGGGCTAAATTCTATAATCTTCACACAGGCCAAGTTCCCAATAACATCTGGCCCTATTTGGACATTGTGCTATCCGGGTGTAGAGATAGTGAATGCATTTTAGCGATTGGAATGTGAAGTCAGTATTCTGGGATATATCAAAGACAAGAAAAAGTTCACTCTGCTTCACTTGCTATCACAAAAAGATGTATGCCTGTATGCTTGAACCAGACTACAGGGTGTCAGGCAGGAAAGGAGTATCTCAAAGGGTGTTAGCGGGATGAGTTATTACACTGCTAAGCAGAACCATTTACTGTCAGCCATCTCTGGTCCTGTTCCTCACCTCCTGCTTGTTCCCTTGGCACACAATTAATTGCAGTTGCTCTCCCACCACGAGACACGGGCAGATTATGTCCAGAAACCAAAGTCTGAGCAAGAGGCAGCCTGTCTTGAAAGTCCAAACAAAGCAGATGACAATGTGGCCCTTGGGAAGAACACGACTGCAAACAGACATATTGGAGCAATTAATTTCTCTTCAAGACAGGAGGTTAAAAGCTGTGGCAATGCCCCCTTGGGTCCAACCTTCAGGCCCAGCTCTCTGCTGGGATGCGATGGGAGAGGCCGATGAGGGAGAGCATCAGTCCACTGTCTCTTTGTCATCTGCATGTCCCCAGGGTCCAGAGGTGTCCTGGTAGGAACGGCACACCTGCCTGTGGACCATTATCCATTACTTTCACTCCTTTTGAACCTGCTGCTCCTGTCAGATGCTGATGACTGGGTGGGAGGGGAGCAGGAGGGCTGGTGGTGCGAGGAGACGTGCCTTCTCATGGGGCTACACATGGGCTGCTTCTTGCATACATCATCCATCAGAAAAAGCTATTTTTTTACATCCCTCTACTACTGTTTTTTGCAGAAACCACATATGGAGTAAGCTGTTTCCACCAATTCCAGCACCGAGCAACAAATTCAGAGATCCCTTCCCAAATGACTATGAGGTAAAATAACATTTTAGTCATTCTTTGTTTCTTTTATTTTTTTTTTTGACTAGGAGGAGTGCTTGCGCTTGTGTGCTGCTCTTGCCCAGAAAGGCTGGGAGCATACAGCTTGTTATTGCTCAGTTAAACCTTTTGACCTCTTAGAATTTCTAAAGTCCATATTAAATGTGGACTACACTGTCAAATGCACTGTGCAAAACATGCCAAGTGGGAAATTTGCAGGTGCAGTTAGCGTAACGATACACACAGCCCTGACTATAACCTTGATTTAGCCATCAAAATCATGAGGCTGTTTGTGCAATCAGAACTGCTGAGGTGGGATCTCACCTGGCTGGGTGGCCACCTCCTCTGAGGACAGGTCCCAGTCTGCACTTGGGTATGAAGTGTTCTGGGGAGGGTTAAAACCAAGCAAAAATAATTCCAAATCAGAAAGCTATTTCTGCTGCAGTGGGGTGCAGGAAGGATTAAGTGTCACTGTTGAGTGCTTTTCTAATACACAATGAATTTCAGGTACCTGGTGCCTTAACTTTGGCTCTGCTTTTTGTACAGAAATGCAGTTTTCTCTTCCCCTGAGCACAGCCAGGTAGATTGCTCTGCCTTGACAGGGGCTGGAGGCTGACTCCCAGAGAGCTGATTTATCTTGTGAAACACAACAATGGCAAATGTTTTGGTGCTACTATTAAGCTGGTCTTAAGCCTTATTATGATTGCTGTTATCTCCCAGTAAATACATTTGCCTTTACAGATATGGTACAACTCCTCGTTGTCTGCTCAGGGGAAGTGCTGCTCAGTAACTTGATTTTAATTTATCCCTTTAGAATAGGGTTTCTTTTTTTGGGACGTTGTTCTTATTCCATGGTCTGGTCAAGGAAACAGGCTTAAAAGATTATAATGTAATGTTTGTTTTTAATTAAAGTCGCTGGTGTAAAATAGCATGACTTAGGGTATCGCAAATAAGAATATGAGAAATAGCAAATACTAACACTGCAGAGAGAAAATGTGAGCCTGCAAAGGCTGTTTCACATTATCAAAGGCAGCACTGCCTTATGTTTAGTAGTCTTTTTATTTACAGTTAGCTGGGTGCAGGTAAGTGATACCAGCTGGGGGCTTTCTACTGGCACCATGGCCGCGAGGGTGGTGGCACCGACAAGGATTGGTGAGGACACGGCCCTGAGATTGCCCAGGAGAGTGAAACCCTGACAGCTTTTTGTTATGGCCATTCGGCTCCTAAATTTGTAGCGTAAACAGCGGGGTGAGGTGATGAAAGCCCTGCACGGTAGTGGAACCGTGCTCGGCCCAAGTAGCAGCTCTGCCTCCTGCCACCGCTGAGGGCTTCCCAGCAGCTCAACTACTGCCTTCTGCTTCCTTCTGTGAGTCACCCCGGCTTGTGCAACTCTGCTCAGTACCAGCTGGTTGGGATCTGGCCCCACAGGTGGGCTTTGCAGCTGTGTATTCAGAAAAATTCACGTCCCTTCCAACATGCCCTCCAGCTCCTCCCAGGGCTCTTTGTCCTTGGCTACAGAAGTTGTCTGGTGGGACACTGTAGTCAACTGCGTTGTGCAGAGCATGCCAAATGGGAAATTTGCAGGTGCAGGGGGCTTCTGGCCTGAGTGATGAGCAGCCCCCTTGAGAAACTAATCAGAAATAAAATTTCTGGTGAAACTCTTCTGTTGAATCCAAAGCTTTCTTGGCTCTTACCTCACTAAGCGTTTTGGGTGAATCTCTCTTTAAATGCACCAACTTGAAACACGGTGTTCTGCAAAGCATGTCAAGTGAGGGCTTTGCAGCATTTGTTTCATAACAAATATTCTGGCCTCAGTGATGAGCAGCCCCCTTGAGAAACTAATCTAATTAAACTAAACTAAACTAAACTAAACTAATTTCTGGTGAAACTCTTCTGTTGAATCCAAAGCTTTCTTGGCTCTTACCTCACTAAGCGTTTTGGGTGAATCTCTCTTTAAATGCACCAACTTGAAACACGGTGTTCTGCAAAGCATGTCAAGTGAGGGCTTTGCAGCATTTGTTTCATGACAAATATTCAGTGCAGGCTTAAAACACAATGTCGTGACTCCTCTCTCTTAATCAATGCAGTTTAGTTGATAACCTCAATTTCCCTCCCAGCTAAAAGCTGTGTTTGCTTTCCAGAGAGCACGTACCTTCACCAGCGAGACGGAGACCGAGTTCGGCAGCTTCACTGAAGATCTCTACTGCAGCACCCTCGATGACTCTGTCTTCTGAGAGGCTGTGGAGCTGACAAGGCAACGTGGTCCCAGCACATCACCCAGCATCGCTGGAGCAGGCTTCGTGTTACCTCCGCTGCGGTGGCCTTCCCAACGGGGGAGGACTTGCTTACACCAGGTGCCTTGCGTAATGACAAGATATTAAACAAAAAGTCCCAGTTTAAGCAGCATATGAGTACACAATACAAGAGCTGGAGTAGGAAAAGTAATTCTAGAAAAGAGCCAATGGCTTTTTTTTCTGGTTGACAACTTGATCTTTTGGATTTTTGTTTTGTTTGAAATACCTCTGACAACTCAAGATGCAGAATGCAAACTGGGACTTGGTGCAGCCCTGGCGCTGGCAGTGACCAAGGGTGGGGGGTCGAATACTGGGAAAAGAGCCAAACAAGCTGTAGAGCACCCCAGTGCTGTCATCCGTGGTGCTGCATGGCTACAACAAATCCATTGTGAGAGTGGGGACTCACACTTGGCCTTCACTGATAAACTTCGTAATGAAACTGTGAACTTAGCAAATAACCTGCATGAAGGAACTTATTCACATCTTGCTTTTTAACTAAATACAGCACCAATTTTGGATGTTGGGGAAAGGCTGTCTCAGTTGCAGGACTTTATAAACCTCTAAACCTCTGGATTTTACAGGCTGTTTAAGACAAGGTTAGTTTGCTTACACAGCTGATGTACAATTAGAGTGGTGCTATTTTTGTACACGCAGCTAACACCTTGCCTTGTTACCTCTGTACATGCAGGTAGCACATAGCCTTATAATTTGTGTGCACAGCTGGCATCTCACTGCCACAGGCACAGCTCCCGAAATTGCAGTTTGTGTGTGTGGCAGGTTTTGCAGGTGGCCTGGGCTGCCACAGGGATTACGTGCATTGCAGGCCTGCGAGAAGCCGCATTTAAACTTAAGTAAATTCACAGCTTGGGAATTGAAAACTGTTTTGGCAAATAGCTACAGAACGCTGCAAAAAACTGACAGGAGACTCCTGCTCATGAGCCACTGGCAACTGAAGAGCCCTCAGCAGCCCCCAGCAGAGCACAGACCCCAGCACTGAGCATGAAACCCTGGCCTCAGCCAGGCACAGCCAGCTCTGAACACGCTGCTGGCTCTGCACAGTGAGGCCTGGGGAAGGAAACAGATTCTCCTCAGATTTTACCTGTGAAGTGCTGAGACATCGGTAAAAATGTTTACGCCTGTGTAGTTGTGCTGCCACGTGGACAAGGACACTGGAGCAGCAATCCCTGATGCCTGCTGCGTGCCTCTCCTTGGGTGTCCTGGCTGTCCAAGAGGAGTCCTCGCTGTTTATTCCTCTCCTGGCTTGTGGAAGTTTATTTTTTTCTTCCGGTTATTTTCTTCCTTCCTGTAAGATTTGAACATTTTGCAGAAGAAAGCAGGCATTTTTAATATCTTGGCTTCCCTGAGGCTTTTATGTCCCCAGCTTTTGGCTGCGTGAAGCCGACAAAGCTGTGATGGCTGATGCCTGTGTGGGGTCACGGCGGCCGGCCGAGATGGCGATCTGGGCACTGCGAGACCCCAGTTGCAGGGTGAAGCAAGGGCTTCACTGGTGTCTTTTACACTCCCTTCTCCTGAATGACGGAATGGCACGGGGATGGGTGGGCTCTGAACAGCACTCAGTTGCTCACCGGAGGCCGCGGGATGGGGTGGTGCGGGAGACTCGCAGTTGGCTCATTTTCAGCCTCGAGCTCCTGTGCAGGCTCTTGCCTTTGACAGCAGCATCTGCAAAAGGGCAAGAAGGGATTGTCTGTGCTTCCTGGCACAAGAGGTTACAGCTTAAGGGGGGGGACAAAGAAGAAAAAAAAAAAGAAGGAAAAATAGCACCAACTGATAAACTTTCCTAACTGCGCCTACAAACCAACATGCAGCCTGGGAATGCAGTTTTAACTGTAATTAAAGAAAGGCGCCAAGGACCTCTTGGTGCTTTTTAGAGGCTTTTTTTTTTTTTGCAGGGATCTGGGCTCCTCCTTCATGTGCAACTTCAGTTGCCTTCAGGAAATCTTGAAAAATCCAAGCCCAATATTGCAACCTGTTTTTCATCGCTATCTGTTGTTCCATCTTAAATGAACTGGGTTTGAGACCGCATTGGTTTCTGTTTGTGATTTGTTTACTCACATCGTGTAATCCTTCAAGCGAGTTACCAAATAAACCTCGTGCCTGATGCCGCTTGAACAACTCGGGGTTTGACCTCTGGCTGCAGACCACGAAGCTCTCCTGTTACCGCAGCGTCCCTTCTACTGCCAGGAAACCTCCTCTTTGTCCAGCTGGGCAGAGGGGGGTTAAGCACATTAACAAAGGATAAATAGAAAGGTTTGACCCAGCAAGTAAATTGTTTGGAAAGTGCTGAATGTAATGGAGTTCCCAGGTGCTACAGACTAAAAATAATAAGAAATGAGCCAGCTCTCATCTGGGTGAAATAGCATGGCTCCATCACAATTAATGTAGCTCATTAATATAACAATATTTGTGCCTCAGATGTCTCACCTGCATGTGATTTTAATGGTTCTGAGGTGTCCCTCTTTAACAATCTAAAATCACAATTTCATTGGTAAAATCCTAAAAATGAGACTGAAGAGAATTCACTTACTGTAGTGTACTTTATGTCGTGCCTTCAAAATAACTTTTCTAAAAGTATTTTCATTTCTATTATTGGCAAGATATTGCAGAGATTAATGCAATATATTTACGTAAATTTTGCATCTGAGCTGTACATCTGGCCACGTGAAAGCGTGTGAAGGCTCAGCACTTCCCAGCGCAGGCAGGGGCAGCCTCAGGCAGCTGGGGCGTTCTCGGGGCGCATGGTCACGTACCTGCTGTTCTGTGTCGCTGATGAGGACGTGCATCATGGGAAAACAATGCAAACATCTGCAATGTGCCCGTGATGACGAGAAACCCTCTGTGGATGTTCAGCCCGTGAAGCTGTCCCTGAATTCCTAGAGTTATGAGTTTTGAGCCCAGAGTGCAAAGAAATACTTATTCTGAGAGTTTTCTTCTTTAAACCCAGCTACAAACCCAGCATGTTCCTCCTGCTGCAGCTTTTCTGTGCTGCCTCTGTGACAGCAGGCCCAGGAGCGACCCCTTACCCCCCATCTCTAGAGATGGCAATTTGAAATTTGCTTTTTAACAACTGAATTGTGTTACCAGGCCATTGTATTTTAAATCTTCATTGACTGCAGAGCGCAATATCACTGCTTTGAAACGCAGAGCACAATTACACAACTCCTGTGCTGCCCTCCCTGAAAACCAGAATTAGAAAAGTGGGCCTGGTGCATTTAGCAATTTCAAGCAGTGCCCCCCAAACCCCTCAGAAATCCCGCAAGCCGAGCAGAGCAGCGGAGCTGTACCTGGCGAGGGCGCTGCTCTGGGCGCGGGGTCAGCGCTGCTCCGCAATCCTGCGCTGGCAGCTCGTGCCTGGGGCTGCTGCTGCGGTGGCTGTGGTCACGGGGTCGGCGAATGCCAGTCTGCTCTTTTTGTTTGGTTTTTCCCTTTTCTTGTTCACTTTGAGCCCCCCAAGCTTCAGAGGCTCCGCTCTGATGGCACCAGCCCACACAGGCTTGGAAAGGTCACGACTCTACAGAAACAGAGGTTACCACCCCAAATTCACCCACTCAGTTACATTTTCTTGCAAGTTTTGGAAGCAAAATTAGACCAGAGATGTAAAAATAGATTTTCTTTCCTGGCTCCACAAAGTTTTGACTTAAACCGACTCCTGTTTTGTATCTTCTCATCAGTGACGTTCTCAGCAGGCACTGCCTATTGCCATGGGGAAATTTGTCACCAGGTACAATGAAACAGGGAGGAAAAATGCTCCTGGAAGACAGGTGTCTTTACAAATGACAGAATATTTATTACCAATACCTTTAAAAAAAGATTACATCTGCTAGATCACTGATAAATAGAATTTACACTGGGGAGAAAACTACAGAAGCTTTTTTTTTTGTTCCATTTTTCTTGGTTTTTTGTGGTTTTTTTGGGTTTTGATTTTTTTTTTTCTTTTTTACATAGAAGTAACCATATCAAACTAAGAAAGGAACACAGCTTGAAATACTGACAATATTTCTCTGGTCAACACCCCTGACTTTTACACAAGTGGAATCCTGATTATGAGTTACTGAATAAATATATTTAGAAGGTCTAAAAGTTAACTGTATTATTTTGTAAGCAAAAAAGACAAGTTACAGGCAAATTCAAGCTATCAGGAAAAAAAAAAATTAAACCACTGCAGCGCATTTCAACTTGAAAATTTTATAGAAAATTCCGTTGCCTTTTGCTAGCGTTATCCCATCTGAGTGAACTTACAAAATTACCCCGTAGTAACAAACAGTCCTCTTAAGAAGAATTATTTTGCTGTGGATATTGTCGTTTTCCAGCATGACTCTATTTTTGCCTTCAGGCGTCTATGAAGAGTTTCTAAAGGCAGATTTCCTAGCAGAAACCTGCTGGGAGATCCCACCCCGAAGCGTGGCACAGCTCCTCGGATGCTCGAGCTTCACACCAGGTTTCCTAAGCGTTTTCTCTGTAGTGGAGTTAGAAGGATGATGAATTATGTTCCGATGCACGTGGAAAGCAAGCGTGTGTTCGGACAACGAACCCAGGGCAGCTTTATCTCTCGGAGTCGCTGGATCCGAATTTCCTTGGAATAAAATCCCAAAAGGCGAGGTTTCTGTGAGAACCAGGCTGTTCGCTCGCTCCTTCGGGTACCTGTCCCTTCTTGTCACTAGAGGCAGAGATCTCGTCTTCGCAGCATCTTCATTCCTACCCAGTTTAATGCTAATTATGATAAAGACAAAGCTATTTCAAGACAGTAAAAATGGACCCTTACTGCGTGATGCCAGAATATTCGCTACATGTCCTGTAGTCCACACACAACCGAAATTTGTGTAGTTTCTCAAGATCATAGTATGCTTGCTATTTCGAGTTTCTCTTGCTTAGATCTCTGAATAAAATGTAACATCTCGTGTGTTATAAGCACTTAATTTAACACAAGAACCATTGTAACTGCCATTTAATTACAGCCACATTACGAACTGAATCTGGAACAGTTCTGCCTTGTAAAACTGTACAGTAAAGTTGCAGCCCATTTACTAAGAACAACTTTGAACTCTCCGTAAAGGAAAAAATTCCAAACAATATTTTTGTGATAATGTCATCCGTAGCATTTTATAGCAGAGGAAAAATTAATATCTACATCATATGTTAACTTTAAAAAATTCTATAAAACACTAAATATATAATAAAAAATATGCATATAAGGACATATGTAAACTGCTTTGGTAACATCATATTACAGATGTTTTCAGTGCATTGCAGAGTTTCCAAGGAAACTTCAGACAAAGCTATATTTGCTTTGAGGAAGTACTGTATAATGCCATTCCTAAAGAAGCATAAACATTTTTCCAGTAGTAAGATGTACTCAGACCACAATATTACTTAGTACTGGGTGTCTTCAAAACAACTAGCTAAATGTTGCTTATATTATAAACAAGAAGTCCTTGTGTCATTTTTGTCATAAACTGGAGCGAGCTGTGAGCGATATCATTATTGTGCTGATGGCCGACAGCGTACAGGCGTGGGAGGTCGAAGAGCCGGATCCTCTCGCGTACGCACCTGCACAAAGGACGGAGGGGAAGTTAGTGAGGAGAGCAGCCAGCATTGACCAAACCTCTCCCCTCCCGGATCTGGATTCTGTTTCCTCCAATGCAGAGCAGTGGTGGCAGGAGGTGGCTCCCAGGAAGGTCGGACCCCACCACCCCTCCTCCTGCTTCAGTAATCTCCTGCTCCACCGGGTTCCACCTCTCTCATGGAATTTTTTGGCTTAACTTAAATTCCTGCCACTGTTGCATTAAGGATACTTCCCCAAGTATATAACTTTGTGGCCTGTTTGCTTTTTTTGTTTGTTTAATTGTACTGTATTCAAGCTTAAGGCACCAGCCTGGTGTGATCCCCATCCTGCAGGAGCTGCATCCCTGCTCTGCGGCCCGCGGCATTGAGCCAAGTAAGACCTGGCTTGTGTTCCTGCTCTACTTGGCTCTCCTGCGTCTGCTGGTTAAATTCCTCTGCGTGGTTTATATAGCCACAGTGTACAAGCATGGTGGAGATAATTCTGGTCTCACCCAGGGTTTTTTAACATTGCTGGAAGTTTAATGCCATATTCCTGCATTGCAGAGGCTCCTGATTTAATACAGCTTATAAACTGTGGCATTATTAATGGAAGATGGGACATGGAGATTTTGCAAAAGCAATGCTGTGTAATAAAATACTCTCTTTTCTGTTTGTTCTTCTACACAACCTCATTTCCCTAAATAAATATTTATGCATCCAGCACACAATGGAATATGGCTATACAGTAGCCTTATAAATTTAAAAGCCTCTGAACACTGCATTTTGTATTTTGTTACAGTGAACTGCAATGAAACAATATATTCAACATATATATGAGTATGGAAGCACGAGAGTGAAAAGTGTCTAGAAATCTTAGGTACAAATATAACTACTTATGATGGCATTTCTTATGGTACAATATTGACTCGGGATGAAATCCTAAACACCAGTCCTGGTAAGCTTGAGTTTCAGCCCCCTGCCTGGGACATGGCCAGACCTACAGCCCGCCCCTGCTGAGCCGGAAGGCTCTAGGCCGGCCCCAGCTGTGGATGCGAATGGTGGCCGGGGGGACGCAGGTCTCCCCCACCAGCGGGGGAGGAGGTCAGGGGCTGGGGATGCTGGCTCCCTGCGGCCGGAGACAGCAGGAGTGGGCACAGACTCCGGTTCCTCCTGTCCTTACTTGATATCTTTGGAATTCGGATTTGTTCGCTGCTGCTGCCATCGCCCCCGTCGCTGAAGGGCCTTATCTCGATGATGTAGTCCTCGTCGAACGGCAGGGAGAGCTCCACAGAGGTTTTATTCGTTTCTATGATGGACGTGCTGCTCTGCCTGCTCCACCTGTACAAAACCTGCAGCGAAGGGGAGAGGGAAGAGGAGGCAGAAATGACAGACACGTTCATTGCCCTGTGGATGTCCAGAATAATCCAGATCCTTCCTAGAATAAACGGCTTTTTTGAACTACTTCTAAGATCCGGGAATTCTACTAATATTGATCATAAATTGTCACATAAAATCTGAGATTTCCAGGAAAAAAGAGGAAAAATGGGAAACGTTTTACTGTGATTCAAGAAAGAAATCAATCCAGTTGTGCTATCCAGACAGTGGCATAAAAGAAGACTTCTTAGAAAAACCAATGAGTTTGCTTTTTCAGAATGATGAGTCTCACCCTCTTTCAGTTGACTTCTTAATTTGCATTTCAAACCTAATATACATAGTGAAAAGTTGGTCCAAACTGCTGAGGTTCATCTGAGGTTTTGACTAAAAACCCTAAGGAATTACTTACTTTTGATAATCCGATACAGTACGCCAAAGATACTTAAAAGTTACTGCAGAAATTCAGGAGAGCTGGCACAGGCTCACAAAGCTGCTGCCGGCGGCTTTCCAGATTGTGAACTAAGTACAAAGTGTGTCCAGGGTCGTCATCGTTTCAAGCTCTGGTGGAAAACGTTTGCACAACGCAGCCCTCGAGGCAATGGCTGGCAGTTGCACACCAATGTCTTCTTTGGGCCAAATTAAACCCTTGTGTAAGGTGATCAAGCTGAATTCTTCCCAAGATTTCTCTCTAGTTAAATTATACCCTATTAAAACTGCTACTAATGAGGATTCTCTTTCTTTTCCTTTTGGCTCTGCTTTCTGAAGAAAATGGGAGCTATTAAAAAAGCATTTTATTTATCTGCAATTAAGAAGTCAACTACAGCCTCTGGAAGGTTTCCACCAAAGGCAGGAGAGTGGTCCTGCAGGTGGGAGCTTCAGAGGGGGAGCGGGTGAAGGTCCATGGGCTGAAACCTGCAGGTGCTCGCAGGGGTGAGCATCGCTGGGGTGAGCAGTGGGCAGAACGTGCTCGCTCTGCACAGGTATGGTCTCTGGAGGAATTTCTGGAGCATCTCTGGAGAAATGCTCCAGTTTTAACCTGGAAACCCATGCAAGTGCCATGAAGAACACCTCGTCTGGTCTTACTAGAAACCCCAACTTGACACTGCATTCAGGGAAAGGTTCCCTATAGCCCAACAGCAGGATCCAGCGACAGCTGAGGCTTAGTGAGGACTCACTGCAGTGAGGGGGTGGTGAGGGAGGGGGTGCAGGGCTGTAGTTACCCGGCTGACAAAATACTCACTTTGTAGCCTCTCACTTCTGACTCATTGTCCAGCGCTTTCACTTGATCCCAGTTCAGTATGATCTTGGAGTCGGATGAATTCCACATGATGTTCCCGGGGGGCTGGCTTGGTGCTATACCATAATATACACAGCACTGGATTACTAAGGAGCACCATTTCCCAGTTGGATCCCTCCCAGTACTGACGTGGCTTCCACCACCATAGCTGAGCCTGCCCAGAGTCCTATCACTCTGGAAAGCTAATGAGCTGTTTCACTGATCTGTGTCCTCAAGGTCACAGGAGGTGTGACACAACACAGCGCTCTAAATGAAAAAAGGATTCAGACAGTTGCTCAACATGCCTGAGACCAGAAGAAGAAAAGCCCTTTTGAACGATGAGATAAATATTTAATTTTCCTGCACAGCTGTGATTTCAGTTTTGCATGCTCTGCTTACTTAACATGGGGAAAAGCCTTAGCAAAAAAAAAAAAAAAGAAATGCTGGTGAGTCTTCTGCACAAAAACCTGGCAAAGAAAAGTCTGAGAGCTCCTTCAGGCTCGAGAAAGCTTGAAAACGAGATAGGGGAGCGCTGGCAGAAACCCTCCCAGGCAAGAGCCCCCATCCTCACACGCACTCACGTGGCTTTTTGGTTGTGACGTTGACTGCAGCACTGGAGGGGCCGGTCCCGGCCGTGTTGTAGGCCCTGACGGCCAAGTGATAGAGCACGTTGCCTCTCAGGTTGCTGATTTTTGTCGACGTTTGATTGCCAACCGTTCGAATCCTTTTTGCGCTTTCTTCCTTTTCATCGTGTCTCCAACATCTGACCTGAGGAGCACAGCAAGTACGTGTCTACCTCCAGCTATGGGTTGGCAGCACCCGGTCGTTTCCAGCACCAATTTTGGCACTTCTACCCCAAGTGCAAGTGCTGCAGGGATAGATCCTGCACCCTGTTACCATCCCTTCCTGTTCCTTGCTAGAAACCAGCCTGGCTGCAGTGGTCCCTCCCCAGGACCTCAGACACTGCCTGGCCATGGGAGCATCTTCATGCAGGCTTCCCCCAGCAAGCTCTGCTCTACATTTTCAGCCAGATCACACAGAGAAAGATGTATAATTGTTGACTGAAATCTCACTGAAGAGACAAAAGGAAGCAACTACGCCAGAGGAACCCACTCGCCCTGCAGCAGGCAGGAGCAGCACCCCAATGGCTGCCCATGACGCATCTCTGCAACTCCTCGAGGCTCAGTGCTGGAAGGATGCTGCGCTGTGTTTCCGTACCTCATATCCCTGTACTCTTCCTTTGTGCTGGTTCTCCCGAGGAGGAGCCCAAGAAACTTCGACGTCAGAGGCGGAAAGACTTCTGGCCAAAACGGTGGTCGGGGCTCTCGTTGGCTCTGGATAGAGGAGTTAACAATAAAATTAGAGTTTTCAGTTTTGTGTTCAATTAGTCCCAAACTTCAAGGGATTTATTTTCTTCATTGCCTGAGAAAAGCAGCATGCGACCAAAACAAACTTCCACATTTCAAAACAATGGCCTGTCAGCCTGTGCCAGACGGCACTGCTCCTCTGCCTAAGAAATAATAAGATGTCATTACTAAACTCAACCCAAGATACCATGTACTGTAATTAGGACAAGAGGGAACATTTTCTAATCAGCGGACATTAATTCATACTAAAGCTCAATGGAATTATTTCCAGATTACATATTACTTTTCCATTAATATCAAAAGATTTCATTACGATTAATGTTATTTTAATGACTATCAAAAGAATTAATCACGGCTTGCCATTTATTATAAATCAGAGCAAGGATCAGGTATCAAAGGACATGTCAAGGTGGATACTAAATCCTTTCAGACCCGGTCAACACCCTCAGTGGCCAGCAATAGGGAGGGAAAGGTGGTGGAGTGGGCTCCTGCCTCTACCTTCCTCCGCTGAGTAGACGACTGTCACGGGGCTGAAGGACCCTTCCCCCTTGTTGTTGTACACCCCCACTTTCACTTCGTAGGGGGAGAAGGGTGGCAAGGTCTCATTGCGGAAGACGTATTTGGCAGCGTCCGGGGAGGCCACGACGGTCTGCATCCAGCTGACGGTGCCATAGGGGCGGAAGGCCACCACGTACCCAAAGCCACCTCCATTCTGCAGCTCCTCGGGGACTGTCTGTGGGCAAACAGACCATGGGAGAAACAGCACTTTCAGCAATGGCATGCCTTTATCTCCCTGTCTGCACGCTGGCTATTGCTCTTGGTCCTTCTGGAGCCACTGTCCTAAACAGAGCATTAGAGGCAGGAGGTGGCTGGAGTCTTACTTCATATCTAACCTGAATTCATCCTATCCTGCCTGTGCTAGAGACTTGCTGCTCCACAAACTCCATGTAGGCAGCTGGGAAAGCAGCATCTCTGGAAGACACTTTGCCTAAGACTTCATCTTAGATGCCAACCTTCCTTCGCTGACTAGATGGAGCCTCCAGTAATGATGTGAGTAATTTTAGGCACTGCAATGACTAAGAGGCTGAGGTTTGGTGGGGTGAACCAAGGGCATGGTTCCTGCTTTCCCAATACACGTGCAGGTGCTCTCACATGTTTAGAATCGCATGTGAAGCCCTGAAGAAGATATCCTGGCAATGTCCCAGCCAGCATGGGGCTGGTGGTCCATTGCCACACAGTGACCCAGACCAGATCAGCCAACCATCCACATCCCATAGGACTGCTTCTTTCTATTGTAAGGCTCAAAAAATACACCAGACCATACAGAAAAGGCCTTTGGAAATTTAAAAGAGTAAACTGACTGTTCTATCAAAATACAAATTGTATTTTGTGCAAATTACGACTCAAAGTCACGGCTGATGTTCTTGCCATGTGTGTTTTTGCAACATATTGCAGTATCTTTAGGAGACATGGCGTAGCTAATTAGTCCAACTGAGGAGGAAATTTAGCACATTGAGCTGCATGGTAAGAACAAAAACCCATTTATAGTTTTTTAATAACCTTAAAAATATCTCTGGCGATTCATTCTGCCAGCTCGGTCAGAAATAGTGCTAAGTGGAAGTGTTAGCATGTCTAGTGAAGTTCATTATTAGGAAAAATATGCCAGCTGCATCACATCATAACACGAAAATATGAGCAGACAAATGACTAAAGTTCTAACCCTGACTGCCTTAAGGAATATTAAACATTTTTCATCTCTGTATCTCCTCTTGCTGGCTTTCATTAGCAGCAACGAGAGCCAGCATGCAATGCGTTGTGTTCTTAACTATTTGCTGCCTTATAATCTGGTGCAGGGATAAGGGCTGGAGCTTGGAAGCCAGCCATTCTCAACCAGCTCTGGACATGTCAAGCCTGGCCCCACAGACTGTTTTACCCCTCAGGTGGTTTCTGCCCATCCATATTTGGCTGTGTGGATATGGATGTGGTGAGAGTCAGAGGAGCTGAGCTTGTGTCGAAGCAGCGATGTGCAGCCTGTTTCCTGTGGTCCCTCCACTTCTGTGCTGGCTTCCTTGCACAGGGGTCTGGGATGGGGAAGGGGTTTAGCTCAATTTTAGTAGCTGGGCTATTTTATCACACAATCTGGGCTCTTTTTACCACAAACTGTGAAATCTACAGAAGCTTCACTGGGGTCTGAGGTGAAAGGGTGCATCTAGATCAGATTGTATTAATTTTCCTCTCAGTTTGGGTTCCACTTACCTCCCAAGTAATGACCAGCTCAGACTTGCTCCCTCCACCTCCACTGACGTTAGCTGGGGTCACTTCAGGAACTGCCAAAAAAAGGGGCAAAAGATGCACATGGCAACTTTGCAGCCAGAAATGGGCTCTGAAATGAAACAGACCTATGCAGCAACAGGACTCTGCTGGCCTTCCCTGCTGGGTACCAGAAACGCTATTAGGAGATGAGTAATTTGCCATGGCAAACAGCACATTAAAAGTATGTCAATAACAGTATATTAAAAGTATGTCAATTAACTTGTGTATTCAGTCACTAATTGTTTAGTTTAAACATTTATCTGCCATAAAAAAGGGCTTTTATTTCTTTTCGTATTTCATACTCTGTTCCATTACAGGCTACAACAGAACAGAGGAGCCACCTACCAAGGCTTTCCCATAACTGAGGCACATGTTCCTGCAGCCACCACTCTGATCCTACGCCTCGCTGTGACCCCTTTCTGCCAGATTAAAGGACAGGGACAGCATCAAGAAGCATTAAAGCTCTCAGGGCTGGTAGCTTGTGCTGAAATCCCTGCACACAGGCAGTACTGAAGATCAATCACCGTTAAGCTCTGCCTGCAGCAGCCTGAAGACAGAATGTGGTTCCAGGAGGCAGTGCTGTGTTTGGGAGAGGGCTGAAGAACACAGACCTTCAGTAAGCCTACGAAATGATCCAATGCATAGGGCAGCCCAGGGTAGTTGCTCTAACACTGACGGTCCACAGGGACAAGGTACAAGTTACTCCAAGAACCCCAGAAGCCTCCAGCATCAAGGGCCTGCTGACCCTCCAGCTGTGAAGCTCAAACTCCTGCTCTCAAGGTGCTGTAGTCTGTGCTCCAGAGTTTCCATGACATTGATCATGGCAAAGCAGAGGGACTGCTCTCAGAGTTCATCTTTCTCATAAATGGATACTTGGCAGTATTTTCCAAAAAACCCACCCAAATACCTAACTTTAGAAAAGCACTGTTTTCCGCAGTGAAAGGGCATGAAGTCTTTCTATACATCCAGGAGTCTTGGAGTGAGCAAAAGAGCCCATCAGGAGCTCCACAATTTCCCCTGCCTGTTCTGTGCACACAAATAACATGCTATGAGGGAGGCTCCTCAATTTCCTCCAGCGCAACACATCCATTAGCACTGATGGTGTTTATTTGACAAGATTTAACTCAGTTGCCCACCACTACTTACGAGCTTCTTCGGTTCTTCTCTTCTCTGAAGGTCTGCTGGGTTCTCCAATCCCAATCAGGTTGGCAGCCACTACTCGAAATTCATACTCGACCCAAGGGTTCAGACCCACCACTGTTGCTGTGAATGTTCTGCCATCAATGATCTCTGGAACTAGGAGACAGCCACAGGTCAGGAGTGCAACAAGAACCACCAAAAGTATTAAAGATGGCTAAGAAAAAGTCATATCTGATACCCTTAGAAGTGAGGGATTACCGAAAACATAAAGTGAATTAGCATTCACAAACCTTTTCTCATTTTCCTACCATTTTATTAACTACAAGTAAGTAAAAGAGACAGCATTAAAACATTATGCTTTCAGCACAGGAATTCTTGCTATTTAAGAGTTTCTCCTAAATTGCCACTTTTTGAAAACAAAGTGTCAAGATAACAGGTTTAAAGAGTTTTTATTTTTCTCTTTTTAAAACACAGTGTTCCCTCTAATGGTTACTGGATCAAAATGAACCTTTGGTGGAATAAGCAATTACACCATGGGATTTTTCCCTCTATCAGGAAAATAATTCTACTTAAAGATAGGCCAGATGACACGGTCTGTCCCTGAGGGATGTCTTTATAGACCACAAACACTGTTGTATATCTCCAGTGTGGCAACAAAAGGTAGTAATTAATTCTGTTTCCCCTAAACATTCATGAGAAAAATGGATGAGTAATAGCACTGACTGGACCCTAAATCTTTGGGTTGCCAAACTTGAAACTAGTTAATAAGACTAGTGCTGTGCAGCCACTGAAATTACTTTTCCCTTCAAAGTGCAGAGCTGCTCCACTCGGCACACGTGTGGGTCCCGATGGATGCGTTTTCCATGGGTGGAGCTCTTCTGGGACCAGAAGGACCTACCTGTGCTCACCGCTTGCCATCCCACCGAGAAGGGGGTCCTTGCTTGGACGACATACATTGTAATAGGGCTGTGGTTGTCTGCTCCTGGCCTCCAGGACAGCTGAGCGGTGGTGTCAGTGATTTCATCTATTGTCACGGCTTCTGGAGGACCTGGGGGACCTGTCGAAAGAATTTCAGGAGGGGGTGCTTGAGGCTTCACAGTGACTTGATCACGTGTAGCCCCAGCTGTGGTTTAGCAGCTCTTGTGGCCTGGATGAGACTGGGAGGCACAGGGGAGATACACAAACCCGAAGGTCACCAGCTTCAACCCGCAGCCCCCGGGTGCCTCCACATGAGCGGTAGCACCGAGCCCCTACGCACACTGAGCTGCCCAGCAGTGCCAGGCACTTGGCGTTGGCTCTGCCATCTCACAGCTGCTGCTTCAGGGCTGGCCTCTACACAAATATGATTTTTGGCTGCGGCTTGGGTGCACTCAAGAGGCTGGAGAAGAATGAAGGACCTGTATAATGTCCAAGTGGGGAGCAGTATTTTCTGTTTCACTGCTGGGTTCCTTGGAACCAGTAAAACACTGTGGGACACTGATCAGAAAGGACCTGCACCTGCAACACACGGCCACTGCTGTCAGTACCTGAGGTGAAGTCTCTTCCCAAAAGCACCATCTCAAGCAAACTCTTCTCTTGCAATTCTCTTTTTGAACTAAAATTATTCTCATATGATATTCAGAGAGCTGGACATGTTCAAATGTCAAAAATAACCTGAAACCTTCCAATATCCTCTCTTTAAAATGAAAGTTTCAGCAGGTCTAGCCAGATTTAATTTCTCAGAAATTCAAACTTGACATTCGTTTGCTGGGGGGAACAACCACGTAATGCAGCCTCACAGAGTGGTCAGCTTGCTCGGTCCCCCACCACAAGGTACACCAGAGAAAGGAAATTTCATTCAATCTGTCACAAATTACTCCTACTGCTTGGCAGAGGCTGAAACGAGCTGTCTGCACTTCACGTCTTGAAATAACCATGGTTATTCCCCACATTTCAGAATGTACTTTTTTGCAGGGTGCAGGCTACAGTGGGGCAGGAGAGAGAAAAATGGTCAGAAATGGATTTACCAGTTATTTCAGGGCTGCTGACAGACACGTGCTTCTCTCGTTCCAATGGCGTGAAAACACCCCACCCTGAACCAGTGGGCTGATCTGTGTGTACTGCCAGGGCTTACTGCTGAATGCTCTTGGTTGAAATTCCCTGACACAAATAATGGATTTTTATTCTAGTATCTAATCTCTTATTATTTTGACATAACTCCAATATTAAAAAAAACCTATTCTGAAGGCTCTGTTTACGCACCAGCTGTTCACCTGCCCCTCCAGTCTCACAGCCCAGGGATGTTTCCCAGTTTTCATGCAGTTGGTGAGATGGTACAGCACAACTCTCAGCGCAGCCGTGGGATGTCCCCGTTGATGTTTTTAGGGAGTGACAAGATCAGTATTTTTACCATCATCAAAGGTCATTTTCTTGTGAGAATTTAATGTTCCTCTTGTTTGTTTACAGAGCCAGCACTAAGGAAATTACCTAACTGAGGACCCAGCAGGAGGCTGTTGTGAAATGGTTGTGTGAAAAAAACCCAAATTTATCTGAATTCATGTTGCAGCAAAACCCGTGAGAGTCAGTAATGGGGAGCACTCAATCTCCTGGGAGAAGACCAGTGGCTTCACCGCCCCCAGGGGCCTGGCTCTCCGTACATCACATGGCAAGGACACCTGCACTCCTGCTTCTATGGGGAAACCGTGGTGAAAAGCCTAGCAATATTATGAAGATAACAGGAATGCCCAGCTAGAGAAAAGGGCGCATTTCTCAACGGAAGTTCAGGGCCAGATCTCACACGTTTTACTCTAGCACTGCAAAAAAGGGAATTTCTTATTTCTTTTTCATGCTCTCCCCATTTCACTGGGTTGCCTAAGAAGTTACGTTACATGGAGAACATGAAAACTGTGATTTTGCTGGGGTCTACAAGAGCTGGGGGCAGCAGGTACAGAACAGCACCAAAGTTTGCTTTCCTCAAAAATAACGAGCAGGAAAAAATATATATTTATGGTAAGGATCCAGACTCAGGTCAACTACTTGCAGCTCTGTTATGGTCACACTTACAGATCATCTGTGTATGGTAACAAATAGACCTTGAAATATCAGTGAAGTTACTAAATCATGTTCATTCTAGAAAAGGAACAATATTGCTGGGCAGAAACGCAGTGAATAAGCTGCACACTGTTTCTGCTGCACAGATCATCAAATCAATGAGCTTGGTTGGTGCAAGCTTTGCATTCAGGACACAATCATGTACTATGTGTATCTGTGCTGTGTGTCTGTTGTATGAGGATATATATATGAAAGAATCTTTATATGCACTGTTTGAAAATGTACTGTGAACCCCAGCATGTACCTAGAGCGTATTCCTTAAATTAATTACAAGAGGCTGGGATCCCAGTGAATGTCTCCGAGCCCAGGAATTGTCTTACCAGCAGCAAAAGATAGGGAAAAAAAAACAAGAAATTTTACAACGACAACAACAGTAACGCAATTCAAATACCTCTTACAATCAGGTCTGCAGCAGCCGATAGCTTGTCCACACTTGTTTGCACCATGCAGACGTATTTCCCAGCATGCTTCAGCTGGATGCTCCTGATCATCAAATCACCAGCTGAATCCTGCTGATAAAGTAGGGAAAAGTGGTTACAATTACTTTGTAATGAGCGCTAAACATCATTATCACATGAAGGACACTGTGACGAATGGATTTACTTTACACTGGCTGATGAAAACATTAGTAATGCAAGCCGTAGCCTATTAAAACTATGTGAGTCTGCCTTGAAGATAAGAGTGGGAGCGTTTCTAAAATTACGGCCCCTACAAGGGGCAGGGGGCCTGGTTTGGTCCGTTGAGCACTTTCCCCATTAGAACAATGTGACAAAGTTTATGGAGGGCAGGTTCACTCCAATTCCTCCTTTATCTCTCTGGTTATCCAATTTATCGCCTCGCTGGTACTCAGATGCCCAAGTCATGTCCACATCTATTTCGTAAGTGAAAACCAGTCCAAATGATGAGACATCTGCAATAGTTTCATGGCTTTGTATTACGGCCAGCGTTTTGATTGCCTGGCGTTCTTGTGCTAAAGATCACAAGAACAGCACTCTCTGAGGAAATCTTGCATCACCTCGCAGCGGTAATTTGTTTTCCAAACGCCAAGTGCATGTCTGATTAACTGTTGAATAGAACTAATTATCTTTCTGTATGTATAGGAAGCTGAAAACTCTCTCCAAATTTTTCTCCAGACACAAAGCATTTGATACTTTTGAAATCTCAGGGTAACCTTGTGATTGCAGCTTTCTGACCGAAGAATATTAATAAAGTCTGTAGTTCTAGCTTTGCAGGCCAATCAAGCTCAGTCACCAGGAAGTGCCGCCACTGCTGATGTGCACCCTAGGCATCAATCTTTAAGTGCATCTTATAATGATTTTTTTTAAGGATAACAGCAAGGCTTGCAAATTGTGTTTCATTTTCCTTTCAGCATTAAATTTCACTCCTGACCAATGTACACATGGTCTGCCAGTCTGCCTGAAATCCAGTGGAGCATGTGGCTCTGTAAAACCTCCCTTAGAGCGACATGCAAAACCCTTTCCAGTTCTCTGCCTCTGCTGAAATTTTGTCGCAGTTCTTTCCTTCTTTTTCTTGCTACCTTTACTCAATAAAAGTGGAAAGAAAATCCAACAGGAAGGAAACTAAGTTAGAAACTAAACTTCCCAAGTCCCACCTAACGCGCAACAGGCTAAATTAGATGAAATCTAAACTGCGCAGGAAAATGTTATGGTTACAAAGGAAAGCAAACTTTTTACCCATCTTCCAGACATAGCCTGTGAAATCGCTGCTCCTCTTTTAGTAAAAATTATTTGGAAATCATTTTTGGTCAGAAGAATGGCACGAGAAGCTGGGGCAGGTCTGGCATATGTGCTACCTCCTTGTGTGAACCCCCTTTCTAACAGATGGCGTCTTGAGGTACCTCCTATGGCACTGACCCTTCTGATTCCCTAAATTCATGCTACAGCAACTTCAGGAGATCTGAAACTACTAGAAAAGCTGAAACAGCCTGCCCAGGTTAAGGCTGGACTTGATGATCTTAAAGGTATTTTCCAAACAAATGATTCTGTGATTCTTTACAATTGAGGTAAAAGCAGAGAAAATTCAGGAGGGAAAGACCATCACGAGCACCCTTACCTTGCTGCGGGCTCTCCAGTCCTAAACCTTCCTAGAGAGGCAGAAAATAGCAAATGACCCACACAGATTTTCTCCTTTACTATAGGAGTAATTCCTGCCTTTGGTACTTTTTCTTCCCTGTCCCTGCCACTTGATCATGGTCTTGAACAACCGCAGTGGCCAGGGCTGTATTTAATGGGCAGTCTAACCATCACTTCACACCTGGCTCTTCTCCTGGCTACCGGATTTCCGTGAACATGATCTTTTCAACCTTCAAATAAACAATTCTTTGGACATTGCAAAAGTTTGTATTGTCAGTGGGTACTGACTGGGTTTCCCATAAACAAACCACACAAAGATACCAACATGACATTGCTAGGAAGCGTGCAGAGATAACACTGAAAAGAAATGCCATCGGCAATGGTCGGTGATGTTTGTAATACATGCAGGCTCTTTTGTGAAGAGGAAAAATACTGATTCTGAGCATGTGGTCACAAGAGAAGGATATGTAAACTAAAGACATATAAACACACCAACAAACACTGCCTGAACAAATTTGAGGCTATCCTCTCAAAAAACACAAAGTTCTACAATTGTTATATTTTACACTGCTTTTACTGTTACAGCCAAACTATTATACACTTCTTCCTTTTGAGTAAAAAAGAAACCCAACACATTGTAGTATATGTCTGCTGACATACAGTCCACTGCAATCACTCATGTGAGCTGATTTAAGTCATGTCATTAAGTAATGAAAACAATTCCACACCAACTATAATGAACTGTAATGAACATACTGACAATGTTTATCTTCTCAGTTTACAAGACACAAGGTAACGTCTCCTACTATCAACTTAGTTGAATTAATTCCTTCTATTAGCAGTCCTTTTCTCTGTTACCTACTGTTAATACTGTGAGGAGATTGCTTTAGTATTAATACTTACCCCTCCAACTCTTTCAAAGTGATCTCCATCTTTATCAAAGTCTATCAGGTTTCCATTAAATGACCAGGTAAACACGATATCTAGCGAGTGATCGTGAGATACCTGACAAGGCAAGACAATGCTTTCTCCAACAGTGACATCCATGCTGAAAGGTGACACCATAACCCGGGTTGGATCTACAAACAAAGAAAACAAAGTGGGGGGGAAAGCATTAATTCTGTCCTCCTGAGAAAAGGAGGGAGATATAGAGCTGAAAAAGATGTTATGCAGTCTACCACAACCGCAGCATTGCCACCAGAACTTGAAAAAAAATGCAGTAATCAGTTAGGAAGATCCTTAATGCAACAAGTGAACTATCACTTCTTTGATTTTATCCTCCAATACCTTTCTCTTCTCGTTAGATTGAAACGCCCTAAAAAATCATCTGGAATCCTCTTCTAGCTACCATCCTGATGAACAAGGAGAAAAGAAAAGGCTGGAAAAGAGTGCAGCACATCTGAAAGGCTTGGTTAAATTAGAGATTATTTTATTTGAATCTTCTTACCTCAAAGATTTGTTTCACAGTCATACATTGCTCCCCATGTTTATAAAAAAACCCTGCTTTGTTGTTCCTAAATTAAATGCTGCCTTAAGAAAATTCTCTTAAAGTAAAATGTCCAAAACTGGAATGAAGAAGAGTATATTAAAAACATGAGTGATATCTGCCTGGACCTGGAAAGGGAATGATAAAACTAACATTATTGTTGTGTGTTATGTTTATTGAAAACGTGGTGTTTGTTTAGAACGCTGGCCACGTTCTCTGTCTGATGGATGAGTTTAAATTTTAAATCTAGGTAGGCCCACACAAAGAATAAATATAAAAGATGAGTGATACCAACCAAAGCTTTCACACCATGGAAACCATAACTCTGCCCCAGTAAGCCAAGTCCTGCAGAAAGGTCAGACAGAGGGGTTTGGGTTGGACGTGTCTCTGGGTGCAGTAACTCCTCTGCCTGACGTGCGGCTGATGTGCGTCAGTCGGAAGGTCAGACTGACTCGATTTTTAGGACCTCTGTGGTTTTATAAGAGATGTCACTGACCTGGTGAGCAAGAACTCAGCAAGTATTTTGGGGTGGTGAAGCAGAAGAATGGTGAGAAAGGGTATTGTCCTAAACACAACGTTAGCAACGGCAAGTCCCAAAACTGCAGCGATCAGTGATGTAGCAATTCTGTCTGTTAAAAACGAGCAGCAGCACGTATCAGCTCCATCTTGGGCTTCAGGAATAATCTCTTATTCACAGCTAGAGTTCACATGGATCTTTTACCACTGGTTTAATTGTCTATTTTTCACTTTGGTCGTGCAGTACGAGCAAAATGGTGGCACAGAAAGATGAGCCATGACACATTATGCAGACTTCAGCTCTTCATCTGTGCCTGCGAATTCCCTCTGCCCCTGAAGTTAACATTTGTCTTTCATTTCTGTTGACAAAAATATCGTAATTTTTTTCAACAGGGCCTCAGAGGAAATGAAAAGAAGAAAAAATATTGCTTAAAAATGACACCAAAAGTTTGAAAATCATATACAGATAGATATTTTTGCTTATTCCAAAAGTCTATTCTGCACAGCTGTCATGCTAAAATACAGCAAGCATTATTCATTTTCTGGTACATGAAACCAAAATCTTAACTACTTCCAGAGACTATTGGCCAACTGCTTAATCCTCTGCTAAAATAATAAGGATTCAGCAACAAAGATACGTACTGGGCAGAACTACTCACCAAAATTCAGGGGATGAGAAGTTGTTCCTGGTTTTTCAAAGACCCTACCAAAAGTGTACAGCAGGTGGTGAAAAAGATTTCATCACTGACTTGAATCAGCTTCAGATCAAGTCCTCAGGGACTTGGCTGTATTACCTTGGATAAATTTAATTCATCTATATTTTGGTTTCACTTCTAACAAAATAAAGCAACTCTTAGCAGAACCACAGTAGATGTTATGAGGCTTAACTGATTAATAAAACAGTTTAAGTTTCTCAGGAGAAAAACAGTGTAAGTGCAAGTTACTAAAATAACGTTTAATTTTTCCCTAGACTTATGACATCTTTTTTGATTATAACCGATGTATCAGGATTTTACAGTCACTTGAGATTGCGACTACTGAAACTGAAGAAGACCTGGAGCATCCCAAGCTGAGGATGCTACAGAAACGCCCACACCTGCAGTGGGGCCCAGGCACAGAATCACTTACTGAAACACCTTTCAGCATCAGCAGTTCATCCTCTGCCCTGCTCAAAGCCCATATGAAATATTTATGAAGGACTTGGCTCTGAGGTGAAATGGGTGCCTCCCACAAAGCCCTGAGCTCTTCTACATAAGTCTAAGAATGATCCCTGTAAGCCACGGTCCTTAACCAGTGTCAGCCCTGAGGTTTTGCTGTCGCTAACCCTCACCTCCACGGCACTTTCTGCAGGAGGCAAGAAGTCCACACTGTAAATCTGGTTCTTTCTGTTGCAGTATCTGTAGTTTATAAAGACATTAAGAATGAAACATGGGTGTTTGGTAAAGACCTGCTTTCCAGAGCAGCTTAGCACAGCTCCTGTGGCCATCGTAGGAACTGCAGGTGCCTGGTGCCTCTGAAAATCAGGCCCCCAGGTCTCAATCCCATCATGTCATGAAGCACTGTGATCTAATGGCAGAACACACCAGGTTACGGGATCAACTGATAGAGCTTGGTGACAAATGACATGCAGGGAGGGCTCTGACCTAAGCCACGCTCAGCGGGAGCATGAGCCCCAGCAATGCACTTTACAAATCACCCCAAGGAGAATGCTTACCCACCTTTTCTCAAGGACTGGGAAAGCTGGAAAAAAACCAATCCATCCCCACCTCTGCTTTAATAACCCTAGCAGAGCAGCAAATGGAACATGTTACACAGGAGGCAACTGAGGGTAGCTGAGTGTGGGCACACCTTGGTGACATGCAGCCCAGTGGTAATCAAAATTATGGGATTTGCATTTTCAAAACCTGCAACATCAGGTACTTCTTAAATTATGGTGAGTGCTTTAGTGATACCAAAATCATGCTGGTTAGCATCCAAGTAAAATAAAAATATTGTCTTTTTCTGAGTCAGCTACTCATTTATTTATTTATTGTCCACTTGCAAGGCAAGAGAGGCAGTCTAGGGAGAGAGCTCCTATGGACAGGTGATGTCTGTTACTGCTCTGTTCCCTCTGTGTGCAGATTATTGTCCTTAGATGTCTTTGCTTAGTAAGGGCACTATTGCCAAAGACAGTTAATTAAAAAAAATAATTGTTATTTTGGTGACATTTTGAGATGATATTCACCTTTGGAGCAATGCAGTGCATTTTGAGAGAGTTTTAAAAATAGGGCTGAAAGACTGAGTTGCAGATAAGGGGTAAGAATTTCTATTTGCAGCATCACCTCATAGAGCTGCCTACAGGTTTCTGAGCCCTCCCCAGAGGGAAGCAGTGCCTGGCACGTCCCAGCTCTCCTACAGAAAGAAGAGACAAAATGCAAGTGAAACTGTTGCGGGTCACTTCCGAGAAAAGTTCATTTGGTGTTACTGAGACCTTTTTTGAGAAATAAGTGAATGGTGGCTGGCTGTAGGTGTCACTGAAGGCTCAGGGAAATGGGAAAGCTCCCTCTCAGCCTTACTTTCATGCCAGCATTTTCAGAAGCACGATTTTTGTGTGACAGAAACAGCACTTTTGCTGTTTTACAAGCAGTTTTGTTGCATGCCAGCCAGGCTGGCAGCTCAGGGAGTGGCTCAGCTTGTGGCTCGTCATCAGCGCTGAGGTGGTTTGAGCAGCATGAAAGCTCACGTGGATGGGCCTCAGCTGGAGTCAGATGCACATGGCCACACTGACACAGCTCTGGATGCCACCACCATCAACACCGTCTGCCCTGGCAGGGTAAACTGAGGCTATCTGAGCTTTCCTTACCTATTTTTGTCCTGTGTTGCATCCCTTATTTTTATTGTTGCAGCATATTGCAGAGAATGTGGTGAATTTCTGACTGATTTAATGTATTAGATTTGTATTACGAGAGATTTTAACAGAGTTTTCTGGCTGGCTTTCAGTCTGCTCGAAGAACCAGAGCTAGGCAGCACTCCCCATCTGTACCAAGGCTGTAATTGCTGCTATAGGGAACCTGTCATTAGCTGTTAGTGCCACCTGCGTTTTCCCTCTCATTTCAGGAAGCCATGATGCATTTCCGAGCTGCAAAGCAGCAGGCTGCCGACATCGCGGGTACAGTCTGAGGATAACAATTATCCAATCTGAAAAGAAACCATCCCACCCTGATTCTCTATTGACTGGGTGTCCATTAGGAGGGATTACTTGTTTAGGATAAACAGCTTTGCATCACTGCACTTGCTACTTGTAGCTCATGCAGTGCTATGTTGCATCGTATTGATCCGGAGGACGTGACACAGAGCGACACGATCCACAGTGGCACGACATAAGTGACATAAAATGAATCGGAGACTGACAGGGAGAGATAATGCATTTTAAATAAATAAAATAGGTCAGTCCAGAGCACGCAGATATCTTCTGAATGATACAAAAGGCCCAGGGCAAAGCAAGAAGTGATGTCACATATATTGTGCCCATCAGCAAAATTTTAACTGACCAGAGGGGTTTTTTCCACCTAGAGATAGGCAGCCCTGTGTGTGTTGAATGGCTGCGTGGCATCCCATTTCCAAACGTGCTCCTTTCCAGTTTGGCTCAGATGTGGAGGCTGCGTGCTCCGCTCTGCAGGGAAGGGATTCGGCCATGCTAATAACCACAGTGCCATTCAGTTAAGGCTATCAAAGTGCTTAGTAAACAACGAGATATGCTTCGCCAGCCTTGGCTGCTGAAGGAATAGAGTATTTTACTGTTAAAAAAAGATTGAACTGTGACGCTCTCCAGACATACAGCTCCTGTTTTTGGCCTCAAGTCAGCAGAGCTGAGTATCTCAGAGACAGTCAACAAAGAGATAATGCCAGCATTTCTAATGCTGGTTTCTGAAACCTGTGCATCTAACGCCTAAATGCTTATTTAGATACCTATCCTGGCATAGAGGAGGACATCACAGGAGAACAAAGAGAAGGGAATACTCAGGTTTTGACATATTTATCCAGGGTAAAAAACCTGAAGAAATCTGAACTTCCCCCTCAAAACTTAACAGTGCCTCC